GGGGATCAGGGAAGAGGTCAACTGCAGAGAGCCATGGGGAACCTGTTAGCATGATGGAACTGTCTAGGTTTTCACTGTGGTGATGAGTATGCAACTGTATACAATTACCAAAGTTCATCGATCTCCACATTATTTAATGAATAATTTTATTTTATGTATATTAAATGCCAATAAAATAAAAAAATTTTAATGGTAAAATACAGAAAGAAATAAAGATTAAAGCAGAAACCAATGAGGTAGAACAGAAATAAATTCAATATATCAAAAACCTAGTCTAAAAAAACACTGAACTATTTGCTTAAAAATGATTAAAACAGTAAATTTTGTATGTATACAAATATTTTTTACCCCAATAAAAAAAAACCACTACTGACTTGATTAAGAAATAGAGAGAGGAAGAAAGCATATAGACAAAATAAAAAATGACCAAGGAAAAAGTAAGCACTGATATAAAAGAAATTTAAAAATAAAACAATTTTGCAGACCTCTACACAAATAAATTTGAAAACACATATGAAATAAATACTTTCTATGAAAACACAGATTATCAAAATTGATCCCAACAGAACTAGAGAGCTTAAACAGGCTGATTTCTATAGAAGAAACAGATAGCTGTTTCAGAAATTAAGGTTGGTTCAATGTTAGGAAATTTATTAATACACTATATTAATGGGGGGGGGCACGGTTATCTGCAGAGATCTGAAAAACCTTCGAAAAATTTCAACATCAGGCCTACAATTATTACTGTAGTGTTTGCCAAATGATGTTTTCCTAATAATGGAATTCCATTATTCCTTCTATATTTATTAGTTGGAATTCTCCTGAAAAGAGCTTTCCCTTCTAAATATTGCATCAGTTTGGTGCATGGATTCTTATTTTACTCTATTTATAATCTTTTATCATAGTTTATTTTGTTGTTCAAGTTGCCTCAGATTTGGCCAAAGGATGCTAAAATAAGTGGAAAAATACAGGAGAAAGAATGATGAGACTATTTACACAGTCTCTAAGTATCTCCCTTTAAGACAGAGGAAAAAAACAGTCATTTTATGGTGGAAAAATCTGGCAGACACCACCTTAACAAAGGGATCAAAGTTACCATCATCAGTAAGTGGAGTTAACCATGTACCTCCTGATATGATGCACTAAGGACATATGACCTTGACTTTGATATTGTTTTTGCTAAAAATGTGTACGTGACTTTAATCATAAAGAATGCAAGACTTATTTATTGTGACCATTTTGTAATACAAATGTTGAATTACTATTTTGCACACCAGAAACTAATATAATATTGTATGTCTACCATATCTCAATTAGAAAAAAAGAATTAGATTCAAATAATAAACTTTTTCAGAAAGGACAAAAAGAAAGACAAACTCAAGTTGAGGGATAATCTACAAAATAAATGGCTAGCACTCTTCAAAAGAATTAATATATTCAAAATTAAAGAAGACTAAGTAAAGGCAATGTGTGATTCTGGACTAGATCTTGGACCAGAAAAAGGACATCAGTGGGACAATTAGTAACAATTTGAATAAAGTCTATAGGTTTGAAAACAGTAACATTTATTTGGTTTCCTGATTATATTAATGTTAATTTCTTAGTTTTGATTAGTATAATATGGTTATATATTTGGGGGTTAATATTTGGGGATCTAGGTGAAAATTATATGGGAATACTTTATACTGGTTTCACAATGTTTCATTAGCTATGAAATTACTTCAAAATGAAGTTTAAAAAATATATATGCATACATAACCTAATACTCTGAAGTTCCCTTCTAGCCGACTCTTCAGCCATCTGTGAAGCACGCAGTTTCTCTTCACATTGATCCCTTTCAGACTGCCTCCAAACATCATGTTCCACTTTCATTTTCTCTAAATCCGCTAATCTGCTCTCAAGTTCTAGCCTAAAACAGCAGATGATAATGATGTTACAAGAACTACAATAAGGATGATATGACAGCAAAATGTTTTCATTTGCAAGGAGATTTAACACAAAATAAAGTAATTAAGTACTTACTTTTCATCTTGTAATACCACAAGTTTTTGATAACCTTCATCTCTGGCAGCTTGTACTTTACGTATTAATTCACGATCCTTTTCAACTAAGAGTACTTTGTGGTGTTCAACAGCCGATTTGAGAATTTCATTGTCTGACTGCAATCCTAGTATTTTTTAAAGGAGAAAAATGTACTCTATTCAATGTTTCTAAGAAGAAAAATAACAATTAACAGAAAGCATTCATAAGCTAAGACAAAATACAGAAAGTTAAGTCTTTCCAGATATTCTCAAAGATCTTTAAGTTGTTGATAAACTTTTAAGAATGAAAAAAAAACCCTAATACTCAGATTTAATTTTTCTGTCATTTTATTTAGGACACACAAACACAAAAACTTCAATAAGAGGTTATATATATTTACTCATTTGAATCTTGAGCACTGGGGACATCAACCTGGGTAATATCAAAAGAGGTTTAAACACTTTACTTCTAAAAGGATTCTGTAACCTACATCCCACAAACAGCATCATCATAAAGCCAGCTGGAAGCAGAGTGAATAAAATCACAGAAGCTTTCAAAACCTATCATTCCAGCAGAACTGTTAAGATTTCCAACATAAATTGGAAACTTTCAAGTTTGTCCAATGAATTCACAAATTTTCCTTGTAATGAAGTGACAAGTATTTTGCATATGGAATAACTAAAACAAATTCACATCTAACTCAAAGTTTAAAAAGAATGCGAAAATGGATCCCAAATTCTTTAAGTTCTAAAGAAAATTTGCTCCCTAACTATATGGAAATCCATTAGTCAACATCAAGCAGAGTTAATAATGAAAACAATCATTCATCGTAAGCTCTATCTGCAGCTAGAGGCCAGTTCACTTAGAGCTCAACTTGACCAGAGGCCAGTTCACTTAGAGCTCAACTTGACTGTTGCAGGTCCAGGAAGCTTATTTAGCTATTTTCAGTACTTGAGAAAAAGTCAGAAATAATGTAATTTCTAAAAAATCGTGATGAGAAGGACCTTCTAAGACTAAGTTAGAGCTTAAAAATTAACTTAGGCTGAACTAGGTCCAGTAAATGGCCTAGGGTCCACATAAAAACTTTCAAAACTTAAAAACTGGACATGGAACTCACCTATCTTCCTTATATTCTTTAGATTTAAAATGGTCTGGGATAATCACAAGATCTAAATATAACTTAAGTTATAAACTCAGGAAGTATGGACTCCTATCTGCAAATTTTCACTCATTTATGTATTACTCAAATAACTATGACATAAGCATAAGACTGATTTTTTAAAAGTTAGATCATGGAATGAAACTTTAACAGAAACAAAAACAATACATCTGTGCTCTAAAATAAAAAATCAATTAACCTGAAAATTGTAAATAAAAATTCAGTTTGACCTATTTCAGTAATTTGAGTTTATATGTGAAAATAACAGTAAAAAGCATGGGAAATCATATATTACCATCCAGTTCACTTTGAATTTTATTCCTTTCTCTTTCTAGCTCACTCTTAGCTCTTGCTGCCTCCAGTCTGATGTCTGTTATTTCTAGCTTGCTTGAATGTTTAAGTTCTTTTACCTGTTGATAATTAGAAACTGAAGTTACTACTGGTCATTTTCTTGCCATTAAATGCTAACCCAAAAACATTAGTAGAAATGAGAAAACGCTTTGATAGCAGAGTATACAGTGAAAACCTTCCAGGAGGGAAGAAGCTTCAGGGCCTGGAACAGTACTTGGCACCAATAAAACAGCCTTTTCCTAAAAGAATAGAGTCATTTCTTTACAATAGCTGGGTAGGGTCATCTGGCTTCATCTTGCCTTAAAAAGCTTAACTGTTAAGTACCTAAAATCCAATACTCAATGACTAAAACACCTTCAGGGAAAAAAATCAAAACCTTCCTTTAAAAAAAGGGTTGGTGACAAGAAGGCATTTTAGGTACAAGGAACAGCACATAAAATGTTATAGAGATGGAATGTCACGTGGTCTGCTCAGAAAACAATGAGCAATGTGTTAGAGCAGAGGAAGATGTGAAATCCGTGCAGTCGCAGGGAATAGAATTTATATGCCATACAAAAGGACTGTATATCCTGTTAGCTGCTGACAGTGGCATAATCAACTTTGTTTCAGAAAGTCAACTCTAACTGCAAACATGTTGGATTAAGAAACTGAAAATAAAGAAACCAATTAAGAGGCAAAGGACTGACAAAGGGGATAAGAAAGAAGAATTTATTAGGTGACTAAAGAGAACGAGAGAGAGAGAGAGAGAGAGAGAGTGTGTGTGTGTGTGTGTGTGTGTGTGTGTGTGTGTATGTGTTGTGTGTGTGTACATGTGCTGGTAGTGGAAGGAACAAATATAAAACATGTAAATCTAATTTAAACTTTTACTGCCAAAACCTGATTCTTTTAAAGCTCTGCAGTGAATGTAAATAATTAGCAATATTTTCCATATAACTAACCATATACCAATTTTAGTCTTTCCCTGAGACACCTCTTTTGAAAGTTGAATAATTCTAGTTCATAAGTAGTATTCCTTTGCTCATTCAATAAATATTTATTGAACATCTATTATGTGCCCTAGTGCTGCCTTAGGAGCTGGGGATACAGGAGCAAACAAAAAAGCTGTCTCCCTCATCATTTGCAGTGCTCTAGAACAGTTTCCACATTCCTGCCCTTTGCTAAGGTGCTTTACTATAATGAGGATTTAACCAATATAGATATGAAGGTTAGATAAACCTGCATTCTCACATACTGTACTAATATATAAAACTATGAAATCAGAGAAGAAAATCACAAATATATACAAGCCAAACATGTAAAATTTAAGATAGTGGGAACAGGAGGGTTAAGGATAATTTGAGTACAATGAAAATCTATAAAAAACTAAAGATAGGAATTAGAAATAAATCAGGAAGATGTTCTAGAGCCAAAGAGAGCAAGGACAAGAAACAAAAGTATCTTACTGGAAGACACTCCACCTATGAAAGGTCTTGGAAACATAAAAGGTTCCACGCAAAATTCTCAGTTAGAGGAAACAAATAGAAAGTCAAGTACTGTGCTACATCTGTACTGCTAATAACCATACTAAGACACAGCCCTCCAAATTAACTTGTAGATTTTAAAATTACACTACACAAAATGAATACCTTGTGCTGACATCAGATTTACATTTTTAAGTCTTTCTGAAGTTCTTCTCTATGAAAGTTAAGTCTCACAGAGCAATATATACAAAGCAGCTTTTAAATGCTTCAGAGCAGCTAAGAAATTGTATTTATTTTAAAATTTAAACTTTCTATAGGTTGGGTGTTACTATATTATTTCATGGACAGACAGAATTTATAAATTCTTTCACATTTTGAAGAAATACAACTACAATGAAAATCCAATTTCTGTGACAAACGTAGTCATAACCTGCTATAATATACAAACTGTAAAAGGTTAAGAATGACATAGTAGTTCATTAACAAATCGTATTAGCTATTCTACACATGAGGTGGAAAATCAGCCAGCCATCTTAATTTGTAGAATCTTTCATTTCAATGACATGAACTATGAATTTCATTTCATGATGATATGAACTACATTTATATTGCAGAACTATGAAATAGTAACTATAAAATACATAAAAACTTATTTCTTAATTCATTCACTTTGAGATTTACTGAAATGCAAAGTATTTTTCAATTAAACTACCATTAGTGAAACTGAAAGAACACTGGACAGGAAGTCAAACAACAAGTGAAGTCTATCTTCAGACATACTTTTATTATTAAACTAGTGTATATGTTCAAGCACCATACTTGTCTTTATCTATGGCCCTCAGTGAGTTTAACTTTTTCTTTAGTGCCGTATTTCTAAAATTCTAAAATAATAAAGGCCCTCATACTAATAGTAATTAACTTCCCAAAAGATATTTAAAAGGTTTATTAAAAATGAACTTATATGAATACTTATTATTTAGATATGACAAATTATAGCACTTTCTATGAGTAACCTGAACCAAATCCCAAACAAAGCTTCTTTTTACCTCTAGATTCCTGATTCTTAATCTTTGTAATCATGCCTCAAAAATCCTAAGAAAAACAGGGATCTTTTCTTAAATAAATGCACAATGTTGAAATGTTATACACAATTTCAAGAGATTTACAATCTTCTAAACTGGCTTCTGGGCCAAGCTACCCTTTTTTTTTCCCCCACAATATGTTTCCCATGTAGATTCTGGTCTTTACATTGTGAATTTGCTCTATGCTTTGGACACAACAGAAGTATTCAGAGAATATTAGCTAGTACTACTAACACAACTTTAAGAAATGTAAAAAAATAGCAATAGTAGGCATTTTATAGGAGTTCAGAATCTGTTAAATTACACATACACACACAGAGGCACAGAGAAAACAATATACATAAGCAAGAAATACAAATACAATTGAAAAAAATATATTATTCAAGCTCTTGATGTAAATTCCAAAGAGCTCCCTCTTTGGAGTAGTTAAATTCTGATTTTTTTTTTCAAAGGTCGGAGATGGTATGACCTCAGTAACTTAGCTAATGAAGATAATTCTGTGGGATGACTTCCTTAAAACTATACATTTTATCCAAGCTCTTAAGATCAAACACCTCACGATGTAACAAGAAGAATTTATCTCATTGAATATAAACTTATATTTAAGGTCATCATTTTCAGGCCATCTTCGGAAATACTTTTTAATCCAAGACACTGACAGTCACACTGACATAACTCTGTTCAAAAACCAAACAAACATTTACAAATTTGAATAGCTTAGACAAGTATACCCCCAGGTGTTCCTCTGCATTGCAAACAACCATTTGTGAGCACTGCAAAATGTTGATGAAAATTTGAAGTTGTAAAGAAAACTGTGACAATCATGTTTGAAATATTATTTTAAAATTCATCATCCCAATGAAATCTTTTCATATGCAAGATCTCAAAAGAAAACTTAGTTTGGTTTGTCTAAAGTTGAAGGGTGGTTTTTAATACACATTTATAAGCAAAATAATGAAAAGTGTGCCTTTAGAAGGACAGGCAACTCTTAACAACGTGTGTTAATAAACAAGGAGAGAAATAAATACTCTACTAAAATGATCACCCTTCAAGAGAGCAGGAGAAATCATCTATGCGTTAACTCTCGGAAGAGCAATGGAGAAAATTACGTACAGAAAAAGAAGAGAAATCAGAGTTAGGACACAAGTGAGCCAGGGAGCTTGGACAGAATGTGCTGCAGGGAAAGTACTTGATGGTCCCCGGGAGAGTTAGAAACCACAGCAGAAGCCAGCTTATCCAATGTCTGATTGTTCGATCCCTGGTTCAGGATATTACAGCAGTCTAGTCTGGCTGGCTACTCAAGTCCAGAACAGTGTTTTTAAAGTTCTCTCTCTCTCTATATATATACACATATATTTATTTAACAGTAATTTAACAGTACTGTAAGTCATTTATATAAGAACTGGAAGAGAATCATGAACTCCCTTATCTTGAATTTACTTCTTCGTGTTTTGCATCTGTTTCTTCATATACTCTAACATTGCAGGCACTCAATATGTATCTATTGAATCTATAAATAATCTATTTAATCAGGAAGCAATCAAATTTGATTAAGAGCAGAATTTACACAATCTTAGAGGGC